GATGGATAGATGGGTAGGTGGGTAGATAGGTGGATGGATAGATGGGTGGGTGAGTGGATGGATGTATAGATGATTGAATGGGTGAGTGTGTGATAGATAAATGATGCCAGTTAATTCTAGCTCATTCTGACTCGTGTGTCAGAGTACAACTGTGTTTCATATGCTTTTCAGAGCCTGTGATAGTTCAGAAGTTGATCACCAGGCCTTTTTTCCTAGGTACTTCTGAGTGTATTTGAACTTCCAACCTTTTAGTTAGAAACCAAGCCCCTAACATTTTGCATACTCAAGGATGGTAGATGGACAGACACAGAATCAGGTGATAGGCAGATGATAGATATTAACTACATATGTAGTTGACAGACAGGCAGATAGATGACATTCGGGAGATGGTGGATAGACAGACAGGTAGATGGATAGGTAGGTAGAGGACAGACAGAAGACACACTCCAGCTTCTCCTTAGGGGAACGTGTCTCACTTGGGATGACCTCTCTGCTTTGGAGCCAGGAGACTCACCACTTCTGCTTTCAGGGGCAGGAACCCCACCGTGCACTGTCTTGTCTGAGTGGTGTGTTCTGTTTCTGGGCCAAGGAAGGATGGAGCTGCTTGGGTCCTGCGTGCTCTTGACGGAGCCCCTCTGCAGCGTGTTTCTAGGACCCCACATTCATCTCCGGCCTGTGACTGGGGCAGTAGTCAGCCGTGCATTCTAAGGTCTCAGGTTCCCTGTCTGAACTTGACAGGGAAGGTAATGGTGAAGGTTCCAGGCCTTTCTAGGAAGCACTGGAAGTGTGCCCCAGCCCAGGACCCGGTGGGGCTTCCTGGATGCAGAGGGGATGAACGACGCCCCATACCCCTCATAACCCACTCCCCCCCCCCACCACGGGAGGCTGCAGTAGAGACCTGAGGGCACATGGGAGGAGGCCGCTTGACTCTTGGAGAGGATGGTATGAGCAGGTGGTAAACACCCCTCACCTGACCTCTTGTCCCCCTCACAGCGGCCACAGATGTTCCCATGGAGACCTGCTGTGCTGATGGACACCGCATGGCCACTCAGCACAAGGACTGCTCGCTGCCCTACGCCTCTAAGTCCAAGGAGTGCAGGTGAGTGAGTCCGTGGCTCTCAGGAACCTGCGTGAATCTGGACGTGAGAGCCTTAGTGGTACAGTGAAGTGGGCGTCGGGCTGCCAACTGAAACAATGGAGGTTCAAGCCCAGGGGCTGCTCGGAGGTGGAACGATGTGGCAGTCTGCTCCTGTGAAGACTGCAGCCTGGAAAACCTGTGGGGCAGTTCTACTCTGTCTTCAAGGGTTACTGTGCGTCAGAAGTGCTCACAGGGTTTTCAGTTAACACCCTTGGTACCAGCACTCAGGAGATCCGAAAACATACTTCTGTGGGAAAATCTGCAGTTAGGGACCTCTCCAAATTATTGAAGAGTAATGATGTTCGTTTGAGCACTAAGGTGTGTCTGATTGAGGCCATGGTCTCTCTGATGTCTTGCTGTGCGTCTGAGAGCTGGACAATGAATAAGGATGACAGAAGAATGGGTGCCTTTGAGCTGTGGTGTTGGCCAAGAGAATGAACAGATATGTCTTGGAGAATGTGCAGCTGGAGGGCTCTGTGAAGGCAAGAAGGAGGGGCTAGTCCTTGGAGAGGGACATGATGCTGGGAAGGGTGGTGGGTCGGTGAAGGAGAGGAAGACTCTCAACCAGGTGGATTGACACAGTGACTGCTGCAATGGGCTCCTGTGTGTCAGGAAGTGTGAGGATGGCGCAGGACAGAACAGGGTTCAGATCTTTTGTTCATAGGGTAGCAGTGAGTCATCCTCAACTCGATGGAACCTAAAAACAACAACACGTGTCAGAATAGCTCCCCTGGCCTAATGGCAAGGAGCTATGCTGCAGTCCTGAAGGTACATGGTTTGAGCCCACCATCTGCTCTGCGGAAGAAGGATGTGCAGTTTCCTCCCGTACAATTACTCCCTCTGAAAACTCGCCAGAGAGTCAACCATACCCAGCGACGCATGAGAATCACAGGATTACATGGAGAAAGAGTGACATTGTCAAGGATTTCTTGTTACTTGGATCTGCCATCAGCACCCAGGGAAGCAGAGTCAAGAGATC